TATATATATATTTATATAAGGGGCCTAATAGTATTGTTTATTATTTATACCTAAAATAAATGAGGAAAATGAATAGGAAACACTGTGAAAATTTCAGTGCTCTGCTAAGCAGCACTTAAGAAAATATGAAATATTATAAAAATGTATGTGTTTACTTATAAAGACTTATACTTATACTTTACTTATATAGAAACATTAATTTGCTTAAAAATGTACTTATTTACAAAATATTTCAACACCTTCCAATAGAAGATTAGAATAAGCGATGTTTTCAATGTATTCAACATAGTAAAAGAATATAATATATAATAAAATGTGTTTATGATGTGAATAAACTGTGAATATAGACGGTAATGTAATTGACTCTTCATTGTACAGCGTCTGTTTAATCAGCAGTTTCTCTCAAATGACATCAGAGCTGTAAAAACACATTAAAATGACTGAAAAGCAATAAAAAAACAAAGCTAAGCACAACAACAGAAATCTGTGTGTGAAGAGATGCTGTGAGCTCTAAAGTACGTTTTGGAAGCTTTCTATGTTTATTTCCATGTAAACTATACAGAAATAAAAGAAACTGTGTGACATTCTGGGAAATACTCGACTACAGATGGAGATTGTGAGTCATTTCTGGTGTCTTGGTTCCTCAAAATGAAGCACACTGGTACTGACTCTTTATCAAATACACTTAGCTGGTGTTTGCTATAATTATAACCGCTGAACCGCTGGTTTCTGACTCATTAAATGTGTGTTTGTAGGAGATAAACATGCTGTGATATTTAGATTTTACACTAAAGCAACTTTTAGTCTATCTTAGAGAGCATTACTTGTGTAAAGTAACGCCTTACAAATACTCAAACTGCTGTAATTGCAACGCAATCTCACGGCAATTCGTAACTTTTTAATTTAGTGGCTAATTAGTGTGAATTCGTATGATCTAATTCGTACAATTTAGTACAATTTGCTCATCACCCAATGACGGTTGGGGTTAGAGGTGGGGTTGGGTGCCACGCCTTCTTTTTAAAATCGTACATTTTAGTATGACTGAACTCGTATGAATTAGCCGCTAAACTGACAAAGCGTTAAATACTTACGTTTCCTCGTGAGATCAGGCTGGTAATTGAGTCATTTACATTAGGAATTGAGTGATGTGTGTGATTATAGTTAAGTAATTTTTTCAGCCTGATCTCACAAGGAAACGTAAGTATTTTACGTTTAGTCAGTTTAGTGGCTAATTCGTGCGAGTTCAGTTGTACAAAAATGTATGATTTTAAAAAGGAGGCGTGGCACTCAACTTTACCTCCAATCCCAACCGTCATTGGGTGATGAGCAAACCGTACTAAATTGTAAAAATTTGATTGTTTGAATTTATATGAATTATCCACTGAATCAAAAAGTTACGAATTGCCGTGAGATTGCGTTGAATTTTTAAGTGTTTTATTTGTACTTTTACTTGGCTATTTACCTTCCAATGTGTATTTTAGTTGTACTTGACGACATTTATAGTGCATTAACTCTACTTTTACTCTACTATTTTCCTTTAAAAGTGTATTTTAATTGTACTTGACTACATATATAGTGCGTTAACTCTACTTTTACTCTACTATTTTCCTTTAAAAGTGTATTTTAGTTGTACTTGACTACATATATAGTGCGTTAACTCTACTTTTACTCTACTATTTTCCTTTAAAAGTGTATTTTAATTGTACTTGACTACATATATAGTGCGTTAACTCTACTTTTACTCTACTATTTTCCTTTAAAAGTGTATTTTAATTGTACTTGACTACATATATAGTGCGTTAACTCCACTTTTACTCTACTATTTTCCTTTAAAAGTGTATTTTAGTTGTACTTGACTACATATATAGTGCGTTAACTCTACTTTTACTCTACTATTTTCCTTTAAAAGTGTATTTTAATTGTACTTGACTACATATATAGTGCGTTAACTCTACTTTTACTCTACTATTTTCCTTTAAAAGTGTATTTTAATTGTACTTGACTACATATATAGTGCGTTAACTCTACTTTTACTCTACTATTTTCCTTTAAAAGTGTATTTTAATTGTACTTGACTACATATATAGTGCGTTAACTCTACTTTTACTCTACTATTTTCCTTTAAAAGTGTATTTTAGTTGTACTTGACTACATATATAGTGCGTTAACTCTACTTTTACTCTACTATTTTCCTTTAAAAGTGTATTTTAGTTGTACTTGACTACATATATAGTGCTTTGTCTGTACTTTTACTCTAAATTCCTTCAAAAATGGTGTATTTTACCTTTATTTGAGTACATTTTAGTGCTTAATTTGCACTATTACTCCACTATTTTTTAAATGTGTATTTTACTTTTACTTGAGTATGTTTGTAGAGCTTTATCTGTACTTTTACTCTATTTAGCTTTAAAAAAAACTGTATTTACTTTTACTTGAGAATATTTTTCTGCTTTATTTGTACTTTTACTCTATTTTCCTTTTTCTAACGTTTTTTTTTTGTCTTTTTTACTTTTACAAATGCTTAATTACCCTACATGCCTCATTAACCTAGTTAAGCCTTTAAATGTCACTTTAAGCTGAATATTTTGAAGAATATCTCGTCTAATATTATGAGCTTTCATCATGGCGAAGATAAAAGAAATCAGTTATTAAAAATAAAGAATTATTAACTATTAAGTTTAGATATGTGCTGATAACATCTTTTCTCTGTTAAACAAAAATTGGAGAAAAATATATAAATTTAAGTAGAGTCAAATAATTCTGTCGTCAAGTGTATGTCTATAATCCCCAACACATAAAGATATATAGATAAATAAGTAAATGATATATAAATACCTGTATAATAAGTGTTACCTGTCCACCGCTGATGCTGATCTCAGTCTGACACCGCCAACACCAGCAGACTGAAGTACCTGCTGAAGGTGGAGTTCACTGACACACACACACACACACACACACACACACACACACACACACACACACACACACATACCCCTCATATGTTTTTCAGAGACTGTTGCTCAGGGATGCGGCTCTGGCACAAGGGCTCATCAGCTGATCATTCAGTCAGAGATGGTTGAGTTTTACTGCTGTAGAAACAGACCTTTGCTCCCATAAACTGAACATTACCTGCACACAGTACAAATATAAATATAGCTGTTTATTCTGTCTGTTTATCTATCTATCTATCTATCTATCTATCTATCTATCTATCTATCTATCTATCTATCTATCTATCTATCTATCTATCTATCTGTCTGTCTATCTGTCATTCTATCTGTCTATCTGTCTGTCTATCTATCTATCTATCTATCTATCTATCTATCTATCTATCTATCTATCTATCTATCTATCTATCTATCTATCTATCTGTCTGTCTATCTGTCTATCTATCTATCTATCTATCTATCTATCTATCTATCTATCTATCTATCTATCTATCTATCTATCTGTCTGTCTATCTGTCTGTCTATCTATCTATCTATCTATCTATCTATCTATCTATCTATCTATCTATCTGTCTGTCTATCTGTCTATCTATCTATCTATCTATCTATCTATCTATCTATCTATCTATCTATCTATCTAGCATTCGGTCTATCTATCTATCTATCTATCTATCTATCTATCTATCTATCTATCTATCTATCTATCTATCTATCTATTTATCTATCTAGCATTTGATCTATCTATCTATCTATCTATCTATCTATCTATCTATCTATCTATCTATCTATCTATCTATCTATCTATCTATCTATCTATCTATCTATCTATCTATCTATAATTGATCTATCTATCTATCTATCTATCTATCTATCTATCTATCTATCTATCTATCTATCTATCTATCTATCTATCTATCTATCTATCTATCTATCTATCTATCTATCTATCTATTTAGCATTTGGTCTATCTATCTAGCCATCTTCCTGTCTGTCTGGAGGGTTTGGAAAGAGGAAGTTTAATCATCTTGTTTTGCTGTGATGGGGTTAAGATCTCTATCTTTTCATCATTCATCATTCGTCACTGCTAAAAGGAGCACGGTAAGACAGACTTTTATATCTCTCAGTTTTCCTAGTCTTTTTGAACACAATATAAACATTCAGTCTTGATAACCCTTCACTCATTTCAAACGTTTATGAGTTCATTTTTCTGATAAACACAAAGGAAGCTGTTTTGAATCATGCTGAAACCACCTGTAACCACTGACTTTTCATGGTAGGAAGAAGAAACACTATTAAAGTCATTTGTTACAGGTTTCCATCATCCTTCAAAATATCTTCCTTTGTATTCAAGAGAAGAAAGAAACAAACAGATCTGAAACAAGGAAGAGGAAATGATTTTCATTTTTGGGTGAACTATTCCTTAAAGGTCACTATTAGAGTGAACAAAAGTCTTTAGATAAAACCTATTGTAATGGTATTTAAAAAAAAAATAAAATGAAAACACCCTTACAATATGGCACGTCAAGATTTTGCCAAGTACGATGCGATCCTGGATTAACATCTATGTTGATCCTGGAACATAAATTTAGTTGGAAAATGTAATCCATACCTATTCCCTACCCCTAAACCTAACTATAACTGTACATTCTTCCCAAAATCAGAAGGGAATAATAGATGAATAACAATTATGTTGAAGTGCATAAACCTAACCGTAAACCTTAACATTAATAATAAACATATCCCTTAATTCTGATTGTGTGATTCTGAATGGTGATCCAGGATAGATGTTAATCCAGAAACTTTAATCCTACTTGGTGATATCAGATTGGCCCTTTAGTATATATTAGGTCAAGTCATATTTATAGAGCCATTTAAAAACAGTCACAAGACTGACCAAAGTGCTGTGCATAAGACAAAGTCAAATAAAAAGACAGAACATAAAAATGTTGAAATAAGACAAGAGAAATGACGGAAAACATTCAAATATTAGTAATAAAACCTAAATGTTACATAGATAATAGTGCTTGTACACCTTTTACTCAAAATATATAGTAAAAATATATGGTAACAGAGATAAATAATGTCATTTTACGTATCTACTATATGTCTGTAGGTGCTGCTGTCATGATGAAGACTCTTATTCTGCTTTTCCTGCTGATGATTTACAGTGAGTCACTGCAATCTTTGTTTTTTTTTTAGTTGTTCTGGAAATCTGACTAAGATCACTGATGAAAAAAATAGCATTGTTCATAAAGGCGATAACAGAAAATATATCTGTGTTTCAGGGGTTTCTGGTGCTGATTGGGCTGTGAATTACAGTTCCTCACAAATCTGTGCACTGAAGAGTTCAGAAGTGACAATCAGATGCACTTATAAATACCCGACTGGACATCAGATCATGAAAGCATTCTGGACCAAATACCGTGCAAAAAAAGGTCAAGATTATCCAGATCTGTCTGAGGACCCTGAATACAGTAAGAGGCTTCAGTATCTGGGAGATAAACAGCAGAACTGCACCGTCAGACTGAGTCATGTGACAAAGAAAGATGAACACAAGTATTATTTCAGATTCATTACTGATAAAAATAAAAAATGGATGGGCACTCCAGGAGTGAATCTCTCAGTCACAGGTGACGTTTCTCTCTCCTTGTGGTCATTATGTAGAACAGTGGCTCTCAGACTTTTTTCATCGAGTTCCACCTCAGAAATAAGTACCACCATGAAGTGATAATCTTTGACAATTGAAATCAAGGAGCGTAGTAGGCCTAGTAAAACAGCTACAGCTCTGACAGATTAAAAAAACGTTGCAGATTAACTACTATTATTAAGAAAATTATTATTATTATCAGCCACTTTAAACATTATAAATAGTTTGAACATTAGCACTGCACTGTCTAAATAAACAAACAAACAAACAAACAAAATAAAATGTCAACGTTTAAATTAAAACATGCTTTTAGGTGAAGTTTCACAAACTAATTTCGAGAGGAGCACGTGATATGATTGTGCACTGCTGGCCACTCATCAGTAATAAGCCAATCAGAGTGATCCTATAGCTTAATATAAATGAATCACTTTCTCCGTATCTTCTTTTTGGAAGAATCCCCCCTTCCACCCCATCTCCTCCTTTTTCTCCCCTTCTAAAGGGGTAGCGATCGAGACCTACCTGATCTCGGATCCCCTGATATGCTTAAAAACCGGGCGGGAGCCCTGCGCTCAAATATCTCCGAGCTCAGGGTTCTCTCCCGAGACAGCATGCCAAACCTGCTATAAATGCCAGGCATATCTAAGTGGGAACTCTTGAAAAGTTAATTAAAAAGGGTAGGCTACTGTTCTTAAAAAGTAAAAATAACAATAATAAAATTTCTGTACTTAAATGTAAAGTGTTAACCTATAGTATCCTATTCAACAAATCCTGGAAATGTTGCTTGGACCTCATAAATAGAGGCATTATATATGTTGCATGTAGATATGACATATTGGATTCCTCTGCCTACCCCTAGAACAGGGGTCTCAAACTCGCGGCCCGCGGGCCATTTGCGGCCCTCAGTGCAATATTTTGTGGCCCGCGCCGACCGCTGTACTCTGACAGAATCAGCGGAGCGGGGAGAGAGAGCGCTCCCCGCTCCGCTGATTCTATCCGTACACAGCGCGCTTGTCACTCAATGCACGTTGTCGCGCGCGTACTCAAGAGCGATGTTATCGCGCGCCTACTGAAGGGCGGGACCGAGGGTGTGTCGCGTCGCGGGGGCACTTTTGATCATTTTGGAAGGGCACTTTCTATGCAAGACTAAAAAGGGCATGTGCACTGCACAGGTTGAGCCCTATGTGTGCACGTGCCTGCCCTGCATCTTATAGGCCTATATATTGATATTATAGGTAGATACAGACTGGTACAGACTGATGTGACTGGAGTGGGGTGGGGGTGTTTTATTTATACATATATACGCCTTTTTTTAGGTGAGGGAATGGAAGTTTTGAGTGTGTGAGAAGTTATTCTCCACCTTGAACTTCAATAAGTCAAAGTACAGGTCTAGACTTAATGATGATCATCTTCAAGCCATACTGAGGGTCTCAACTGCTTCCGCTCTAAAGCCAAATGTGGTTCAGATTTGTGAGAAGAAGCGCTGTCAAGTCTCTGGCAGCAAGAAGTAGGCAAAAGATGCCATGTTCAGAAGAACTGTTCATAATCTTCACTCAATGTTCTATTAATGTTCAGGACACTTCATGTTCAGAAGAAATCATTAAAACTGTTAATAATGACATTTAAGGACTTTTTTTTGTGAAATCCCTTATGCGGCCCAGCCTCACCCAGACTTTGCCTCCTGCGGCCCCCAGGTAAATTGAGTTTGAGACCCCTGCCCTAGAAGGAAGCCCGCGTACCACTGGTGGTACACGTACGTTTGAGAACCACTAATGAAGAATAAGAATCAGTGTGTGAGAGCAGCACTAGATGTAATGTGTGTGTTGAAAAACAGCTACAGCTCTGACAGTTTAAAAACGTTGCAGATTAACTACTATTATTAAGAAAATTATTATTACAGTTTTTCTCAGTCGCTTTGGTGCGTTTCTCACAACACCTCTGCATTTCTGCACAACAGTTAATGCATTTCTCAAAACAGTTAGTACAAACTGCAAAACCTAGCTGATAACCTGCAAAAGCGCGTCACATTCTCAAAATGGAGAGCTCATTCCTCAAAAGCAAGTTTTGATGTCAATCAAAGAGTCAGTATCATCAAAATGAAAAGTCCTGACACCATTGTTTATGAACAAGATAGACTTTGTCATGTTTTCATTTTGTCAGTTTACTCTGGACATTTTTTCAATGCAAAAAAAGTCCGATTTTGGTGAAACTTCGTGAAAATGTTCAAGATAGCACTATATACACTATTAGCACAGCCAATTGAAAACTACAGTAAAGTTAGACATCACTGCGTTGAGTGAGTGATCTGAGTACAAGACACTGAATATGTATGTTTCACATTTTTTCTGCATTTGCTCTTTACAATTTGAATTTTTTCACAGCATTGTGCAGAAGAATAAACACACCCTTATTTACAGCAAACATAAACTTTCTTTGTGTTGAACTGTGCACAACCGTGAACAATATTGCAGAACATATTGGAACTAAATCAACATACATACACAGGTCGGAAAATCATTCATGAAACTGTTCAATTTAGAAGACATTTTCAGTAAAATAAAGATTTAAACCCATTTTTTGGTCACACTTTACAATAAGGTTCATTAGTTAATGTTAAGTAATGCATTTACTAACATGAACAAGCAATGAACAATACATTTACTACAGTATATATTCATATTAATAAACGTTAGTTAATGAAAATACAGTTGTTCATTGTTAGTTCATGTTAACTCATGGTGCACTAACTAATGTTTACAAGAATGTTAATAATGCATTAGTAAATGTTCAATTATGATTAATAAATGCTGTACAAGTGTTGTTCATGTGATGTTCATGTTAGTAAATGCATTAATTAATGAACCCCTATTGTAAAGTGTTACTTATTGTAAAGTGTTACTAATTAGCTTGCAAGATTTTGACAACTAGTTCAACATTTGTGTATGTAATGACTCAAGTAATGAAATGGGGCTATTATTTTTATTTGCAATGACTATTCAGCTTTGACACGTTTAGTTCATTTTGACTGACATGACATAAGCAGATGATGTTATAAACAGCAGAGAGTTGTATGAAAGCAATTGATGCATGTCCGAAAGCATTTGCAATGTGTTGGAAGGAATGAGAAACTGATACTAGGATGTGCACAAATGACTAACTGTTTTGAGAAAATGTTGTGCAAATGTAAATAGTGTTGTGAGAAATGCACCAAAGCCACTGAGAAAAACTGTATTGTCAGCCACTTTAAACATTATAAATAGTTTGAACATCTAAAAAAACTAACAAAATAAAATGTCAACGTTTAAATGAAAACATGCTTTTAAAAGTTAATAGATTAAGTAAAAATAAATAAATAAATAAATTCCTGTACTTAAATGTAAAGTGCTAACCTATAGTATCCTATTCAACAAAACCTGGAAATGTTGCTCGGACCTCATACACTGCAAAAAATGCTTTTCTTACTTAGATTTTTTGTCTTGTTTCTAGTCCAAATATCTAACAATTCCTAAATCAAGAAGAATTTTCTAGACAAGCAAAACATATTGTCTTGTTTTGCTTGTCTAGAAAATGCTTCTTAATATAAGAAATTTTAGATATTTAGACTAGAAATTAGACAAAAAATCTAAGCAAGAAAAGCATTTTTTGCAGTGTAAATATAGGCATTATATATGTTGCATGTAGATATGACATATTGGATTCCTCTGCGTACCACTAGAAGGAAGCCTGCGTACCGCTAGTGGTACAAGTACCACAGTTTGAGAACCACTGATGTAGAATAATAATCAGTGTGTGAGAGCAGCACTAGATATAATGTGTGTGTTGTGTTCAGATCTTCAGCTGGAGTCTCCTGAGAGAGTGACAGAGGGAGATTCAGTCCGTCTGACATGTAGAAGCAGCTGTAAACTGACTGACACACCAACATTCATCTGGTACAGAAACTCACAGAGATTGACTGAAGGAACTATTGGAAACAAACTCATCCTCAAGTCAGTCGGAAGAGAAGATTTAGGCAGATATAGATGTGCTGTATATGGACACACACTCACATCACCTGAGGTCTATCTCAATGTCACCTGTGAGTACAGATTCATAGATGTTTAGTTCTCTACTGGAGAGTCTGTTTGATGAACTCAAGTTCTAGTTTGATCATTTTAGATCCTCCAAAGAGCGTCTCAGTGTCCATCAGTGGATCTGCTGTAATAATGTCTGGAGATTCAGTGACTCTGAGCTGCAGCAGCGACTCAAACCCTCCTGGAATAATCAGCTGGTTTAAAGGAAAAATGCTTGTCGGATCTGGAAGAATCTTCAGCATCTCCAAGATCAGCTCTGACGACAGTGGAGAATACAAGTGCAAGGCCAGAAATGCACATGGAGCGAGATACTCTGATCCTGTGACTTTAGATGTCCAGTGTGAGTTCATGATGGTTCAGCGATGTAGACGATGTTAGTTGTGAATATTAAAGACATCATTGCTTATCTGTTTTAGATCCACCTAGGAGCGTCTCAGTGTCCATCAGTGACTCTAAAAATAAAGTGGGGGGAGATTTAGTCACTTTGACCTGCAGCAGTGACTCAAACCCTCCTGCAGAAATCTGCTGGTTGGAGGAGAATCAAAGCTCAGCTGTTGGATCTGGACAGAGTTTCAGTGCAGTACAGAGTGGACGCTTCTACTGCGTGGCTCGCAATCCACATGGAGCTCAGAGATCAGACGCCGTCACTGTCACTGTTAAAGGTAAAGCAGCTCATGTACTTACTCTGCTCTTTCTAAACAAGCTTAAACCATCTGTCTTTTCTCAGTAAAGCACTGGAAGATATATCATACTGCTGTCGTAGTATCACTTTGTGGAATTGTCGCTGCTTTCATCATTGGGTTAATAACCTGGTAAGTGTCTGAGCTTCTTTTGTTGCATTAAATTACTGTTGTACGTAGTTTAATAGGATTCAGTGTTGATATAATGTTTTCTTTTCGAGCAGCTATGTGAAGCAGAAACAAATGCGTCCTCAGGTCAGTGAGTTTCACTACAATTCAGGCTTAAATACTGAGTTTGTCCAATAGGGGGCCACAAAGTCACAGATTGTATCATTAAAGGGGTCCTATTATGCAAAAATCACTTTAATAAGGGGGTTTACACTGTTTGTGTGGCAGCAGTGTGTGGATATAACCAGCTTCTAATGGTAAAAAACTAATACATTTTGTTTGTTATAATCAGATTTTAAAATTAGTCTGCAGAAACACTTGGATTGACATACTCCCATTGTATGATGTCATCAGAGGGGGAAAGCCCCGCCCACTTGCGGCTATCTCTCCCTTATTAGTAAGGTCAGATGAAATCTGTGTACATTTTTTGCTATTTCTGCGCTGAATTTTGTGCGGATTTATGAGGAATTATTTTGGGAGTATCGTAACCTTAATTTAGGAAATAAAAAGTAATATTTTTTTTTTACTTGTATTTAATCTTTACAATGCAAATCCATCTAGATCCACTTTATTTGGTAAACAAAGCACATCTCTCAAATATTATATCTACTAAAAGACAAAAATATTACTTTACAAAATATAGTGTAAATAAATCATATAAATATTTTTAAATTAGTCAATAATATTACTCAAATTAGATAAAAAACTGAATAAATATCAATTTACACAAGTAAATAAACAGAATCAATGATGGCTAACAATCTGCAGAATTCTGCGTGCACAGATTGCGTGTGGGCCTACTCATTAGCATGGAACGTTAGTCTTGTTTTTAAAACTGCGTCTATTCTTACAAATAGGCATTTGTAGCCCCGCCCTCTTCTGACAAGAGCACAAGCTCATTTGAATTTCAAGCAATGGTCACCAAAACAGCACAATTTGGATCAAAGTCTAACAGGGTGTTTCAGTAAGATATAAACTATTATCTTTGTGGTACTTTGAGCTGAAACTTCGCTACACATTCTAGAGACATCAGAGATGCATTTTACTTTTTGTAAAAAGAGGCATAACAGGTCTTTAATAGATGCTTGTTCAGAACACCATGATATATATAGATTAATCTAGATTAAAATGGCTCATTTGAATTCTACCTAAGGCCTTCAAAATATGTGTGCTACCCAAATAATGACTACAAGTAAGTCTTTGAGAGCGGGTTTCTCTAGCCAGGTGGCGCATTAGACCAGGGGCGCATCTCCTGTTTCCAAAATGCATCACAAACTGCTTTAGAAACTGTTCTACTCTAATAATTAATGATGAAAATAAATGATGTTCAATAAGATGTGCTTGTGTTTACTTACTGTTTATTCAGGTAAACATGAATGTTGAACTGTAGGCCTACATAAGCTCCTAACAGCAATTTTCAATCATCTTAATCCGACTAAAGTCATCACTGAACTAAACAGAAATGGAATTAAGACATGTGGAGTATGCAGATATTAGTGGCATTATTGAAGTAAACACTGCAATCAAACTATTACCAAAATGTAGGACTTTTCGCCATATTTTCCAACAAGATCCCATAACACTCTCACAAATCCTTACTTCATATTTGCATCTAATACTTCAGTTTGTCATGGGGGCATCAATGAAATGTTCATTAGTTAAAGTGAAACTGCCAAACTGCAGTTAAAGTCAGGCATCATGCTGATTTGATTCAGAAGGGCACATTTTTGTCAGACGGCTCACCGGTCAGGTATACCTTCGCGCTAAAATATCAGGTGAAAGTCATCATAGCTTGCGCAGAATAGACCCAGCTCCCAACCCGACTTTGAGGATAGATTAACGGCAATATTTTTTATCGCGCGATAAGAGTCTCGCGTAAACACCAATAACGGCCCACCACTAATATATATATATATATATATATATATATATATATATATATATATATATATATATATATATATATATATATATATATATATATATATATATATATATATATATATATATATATATATATATATATATATATATATATATATATATATATATATATATATATATATATATATATATATATATATATATATATATATATATATATATATATATATATATATATATATATATATGTATGTATGTATATATATATGTATGTATATATGTATGTATGTATATATATATGTATGTATATATATATGTATGTATATATATATATGTATATATATATGTATGTATATATATATGTATGTATATATATATATATATATGTATAGGGTTGTAACAATATACCGGTATGACGGTTTACCACGATTTGAACGTGCACGATTATCATACCATGAACAATTGCATATCAACGGTTTTAACCCTTAAAGACCGAGACAGCCGCCCGCGGCTAAAAATAAGTATTGCTCTTAAATGTTTAATAACTTTTGATCCGCTGATCCGATTCATACAATTCAAAGATTGGCATAAAGAAGAGAGTCTCAGCTTTCCAGTGCTGTATCACATAACATTCGCGGACTTTCAGAGGCTCCGGAATCAGTGCGGTTACGTCATCAACATTTGACAACGCTGATTTGACAAAGAAACGCTCGTCACTGTGTCTCCGGACAAATCAGACACGATACATTGATGCATTGTCCCTCCTCCATGCCCAGATTGGTTCAAACTCGCTATATCACAACCAATAAGCATAGGTTTCGCTTTTGTTTGTGGACCAAGCTTTTTGAACAACACGGAATGAGAGATAGGCATACATTTATGCGCGGCTAAATAAAACGCAAAAAAAAAAGTTTTGCATGAAATAATTCTCATACTAAGTACTTTTGCATGCACAGCAGCACAGAAACATGACAAAACAGTGACACAGCAAAGACGAACTGCTGCTCTTGCTGTTTTCAAAAGACACAAATGAAGGTGCAGCTGTTTGTCTGCATTGCAGACAACCATATCCAAATCCATATCGATAGACAACCATATCCATGCTGGCACATAAAACCTAAGGATGTTCCATATTGAATCTAGTTTCGTTATGTAACTATTTATAGTATAGTAAATATTTATATCTATTTTTTACTGAGGATTTGCACCATGTTTATTTGGACTTTATTTGGACTTTGACACATTATTTATTATTTTCTTATTTTTTTATTTGTTCATTGTAAGTGGTGTTGTTTATAGTAACTAAAAAATATATTATTTGGAAAAAGTCAAATTTGCTTCACTGTTCTATTATTTTGTAACATTTGTAACATACCGTATACCGCGAAACCGTCAAACCGTGGTATTGTTTTAGACGATTATCATACCGTGAAAAATTCATACCGTTACAACCCTATATATGTATATATATATGTATGTATATATATATATGTATATATATATATATATATATATATATATATATATATATATATATATATATATATATATATATATATATATATATATATATATATATATATATATATATATATATATATATGTATATATATATATATATATATATATATATGTATATATATATATATATATATATATATATATGTATATATATATATATATATGTATATATATATATATATATGTATATATATATATATATGCCCTAAGTTGCTTTTAGGAGAACATTGTGTGGAATGTGGAAGACATTGGTGTACAATGTCATTTATACAGTTTTTTTGAACCACTGAAGTAAAATTTTTTGGGACTTTGGAAGTCTAAGACCATTGCTATATATGGAGGATGATAGAGCTTTCGGATCTTAATTTGTATTCTGAAGATCAATAAAGGTCTCTGAGGATTGGAACCAATGACTGTAAAAAATATGGACGACAGCCCCTTTTCCCATTGAACGCCTTGAGGGCAAAACGCCTGCTTGACGGGCACAAACTGTCGCAAAAGACTGCTGAAATTGGAGCCTTGACATGCGCAGAAGGACTGTCTGTTGGAGCCAGAGGAGGAGCCGCGAAAATGAGCGGAGTCGAGCTTCCAACCAAACGCTTTATGTAAAATCAACCACGCCCCCCGAACTTCTCAGCATGCGTTTGCGGTCATATCAACACAAATGGATGGAATAACGTTAACAAATATGAAGGTTTTATATATTTAATCGCGCCAGCTCCGGGCCGCAGCGCACATAACCTACTCGCGGCGTCGCGGGCTGATTCCGGCTCGCATGCGGCAGCGCTGGCTCGCTCGGCCGCCGCATCTGGCTTGATTGACTCGGGCTGGAATCGGGCAGTGAGTCCAGGCATCCGGAGTAGGTCCAGCAGAGGTAGTCAGTCTGAGCTCTGAGGGGTAAGTCTCCGGCAGGCGAGAATCTAGCCGAACTGGCCCGAGTGTATTTTGCTATCTGGGTGGTTAGGCGAGGCGTGTATCAGCAAACTAATAAAGCCCGAAAAAAGCCCTGACCTTAGCGAATAAACAGTGTTCCACCAGGATCATGTATGTCAGAAACTATAGTTTACTGCTGAACTCATGTTGTCATGGTAAAATAACACAGAAAATCGATAATAACACTTCAGTCTCCTGCT